GGTAGAAGTCGTAAGTAGTCACCGCGAGTAGTCGTTGTCGTGGTAGTCACCGTCGTCGTCGTCGTAGTGGTAGTCGTAGAACGAAGCTCCACCACCTAAGTTTTGCCCGCATAGCCGGTCAGATCTGGGCACACACACACACATGAATGCCGAAGCACTCGCACATTCCCCGCAAAAAGTCTCCGTGCAGCAACCAGGAGGCCTGCAGTCTGACCCATAGCTCTCTTATAGAAATTTAAACACATCCATGACACTGACACTCCGACATAAAGCTCCAGTTCAAGCGAACCTCGAAATAACCTCGAGTAAACGCTTAATCGACTTTTAATAGTTCACATTTTCCGAAGGCTAAAACCAACGACGCGTTTGACTGCATTCACTTCTGGTGCCACATGTCGTCAACCTTGTACTTCAAACGGCATCAGCCGCATTGTTCATTGGCCTCCATGGCACTTCCGGCCAAGACTCTACTTTCTGCTGCAGAAGGGGATGGGGGGGGGGGAGGGCTTTCGGGAATAGGGTTACAGGAATTGATCTTGAAGAGGGCAACGACAAGGGATCTTAAAGTCAAATACCACTTAGCTGAGGAGTTTTCTCAACATGAACATCGTCATCAGGGAAACTTGTGAGAACAGTTGCTATGATGCAGGGTTTCCGGAATATCTGATGCCCTGAACTCACATGAAGGTTGTCGCTGTGCAGACCTCCAACTCGATCTTTGAAGTACGGTTTCAGGGTCAGGACTTGATACAGGGTTCAGAATGCTTAAGCCGCATCTATGCCATCTATGTACCAAATTACTCTAGCTGATGGTTGTAGTCACTTGTAATTAGTCCGGGGGACAGTGCACGTAATCAAGAACCTGGCTCGTGCTCGATTAACCGCTCCGAGCGCAGAAAGAACCATCCGTGCATCCATCCTGCGACTCATGCGCAGGTCTACGACCGATCCGTGTGCACAGCAGAACCGGTACGCTGCACGTCGGCACGATGCTGCAACTCTGAGCAGAACAACGAACCAAGCTTTATGTAACAGGGGGAGATCACAGCACTCTGCCGAGCTCAGACATTCATGTGTTCAGACGTGTCACGGGCGATAGCGGGAGCGTCCTTGGCTGTGGCCATGTGTGTCAAACCATCCGAGACTCCGAAACCCCTGAACCAACAAACCTCTGAGCGAACTTGTATTGCACTTCTACACGGCCCGCTCATGTCTCCAAACCTTGTGCTCGGATTAAAACCCCGCATTAAACCTGAAACTGTGGCCCAATGACTTCCTGTCATGGCGTTCTGGCTCATAAGTCCCAGAAAAACACGAAGGTATGGCCCGTCTGGATAGAAACCGCTTGGGGTATAGGGTTTAGGGTTTGGGGTCGCGGGTTTAGGGCTTAGGGCTTACGGGCTTTTTGGGGTTTAGGCCTACCTGCTGCATGGGATCCCCATGTCGTTTTGATTTGGGTGGTTCTGACCCTTGAAATCTCGTGAAGATTGAAAGGCTCCCCTAAGCCCCCGAAGTTGACTGAACTCTACGCACCCACAAACTCTAGAGCATGAATGCTGCGTCTGGGGCCTGCTGGCGTAAGCTATCTTTGGGGATCACCGGGGTACTGCGAACCACATCTGAATGCTGCCTTCAACATAGGCTTGTCGTACTATGTCGTATGACAAGAGGAAGTAAAAGACAAAGCTGCAATTAGTCAGGTTTCAGAACCTCGACGGTCCAGAAGCCGTGTCAGCCACCACAGCCCCCAAAGCACTAAACAAGTCATTTCGGGGTCATGACTGGGAAGCAACACTACTGAATCCGGGATGGAGCAACCATTCCATTCAACGCTCAGCTAAATCTGAACAGGTTTTGGGTTTGAGGGCTTAGGGCTTCCTGCCTTGATTTTCTGCCTGCAGCTGCACGCTCCTGCGGCCTTCTGCACACTGCCACTGCCACGGGGTTGGCTTCTGAACCGGCGACTGCGAGCATGTGAACTTGACGGCACATAGCACCCCAACGCTTTCCTCCAAAACCCTAGAGTCCTTTCTTTTGACACTCACACTGGGACAAGCGTGGCAAGGTCTGCAGGGTTTACGCTCTCACAACTCGGACAAGCCAGGCGAGGTTCATGGTACGAGGTCGGCGTGAAACAAGAATCAACAGTCCAAGGGTTTAAGGCTGCGGTCCAACCCAAAAACCCTGCAAACCCCAAACCGCTGAACCAGCGAGTCCTACTCTGGCTGCAGCTCACGATGCTGCTACGGCAGGCGGAGCAGGGTTCGCATGACCTTGGGCGCAGCACAGGGCTTGGGCGGAGGGCTCAGGGTTCTGCCTTTAGGATTGCCTCCCACCTAACAAGCCCACGTTGCAGGGTTTAGGGTTTAGGGCTTGGGGTCAAAGTAGGGTAAAGCGGTTAAAGGGCTAAGGCCAAGGGCTCGGGAGTCAGTTTCCAGACAGAATCCCCAAGGGTCCAGAGGAGCCAAGAATAAGGTACCCAGGTTTAGGATAGTAGGTTTGTAGGTTTATTGATTATGATTAATAGGTACTTGGACAATTAGGCAAAGGAACACCTCAAAAGCTACAACAAAGCAATGATCCGTCTAAGCTCGTCGACTTACAATATAAAATTACAAAAATCAGGCAATGGCTCCAGAATGCCGAAACCAAACCATCTCGTGCTGCACGTGCAAAATCACTAGACATCACAAGTAGGTGACAGTCGGTCGAACACGTACCTCCGCTTCTCCAGACTCAAAAAGCACGTACCTATGGCCTGTGGCTTCTCAGCCTATGCACCCTTATGTTGTATGCGTCCTTCCACAAAAATAACGAGCAGGCCATGGGGCTGTAGCTCAAGGGAAGCAGGCCTGGCGCGTCCAGCACCCGGATCACCTGCATGCCTAGTGCCTAGGGGTCCTCGACCCTACACCTCTACTACTGTAAGGCATTGTGAAGGGGGGGGGCGAGAACCATTGACGCCCTCCATCATTCAAGCCATAGACACGTGCGAAGTCTCCAGTTCGGGACCCCTCAATGCCTTTACGAAGGTCAGATGCTAAATCCCCTAAAGAGGAGGTCCGAAACCTCAAACCCGAAGGAGGTAGATTTCATCTAAACCGTTATTTTATTCTGCTTTTGGGCTTTGGTTTAGGTTTCTAACATTGTAGGTTTTGGGGCTTCGGCTCTTAACGACCAGCTTGCTCACCAAGCTTCGGAACTGCAAAAATCAGGGCCAAGGCGATTCCCAGATGTACGGCTCAGGGTATTGGGTTAAGGGTTAAGGGTTTAGGGGTTTGGGGTTTAGGGTTGTAATAAGCTGCAAAAAACAAGCCCCGGACCCCTGAACCAAGACCTTAACGTCAAATCCTTCAAATTTCCGGCTTCAGGTATCGTCCTTCAGGGTTTAGGCCTAGGCTTATATCAAGCCCCAAACCCTACGATCTGCCATTTTCCTGTTCTTTCAGTTTCCAACTAGGGAAAGTACGGGAGAACCTGCAGTAGGTCTTCATGAGCTGGAAGGTTTTCCGATAGGCAGCGTGCTAGACTGGAGTCCCCGGAAGTGTCCGCAAAAGACTACGTCCCCGCTTTAAGAAGCAAGGATCCTAAAGGGTCATCGACTAGTCAGATGTCTCAGGCACCTTCGTTCAGGGATCTGATCTGAGATGACGGGTCCCTCCGTGGCCAACCCGTGCGATTTTTGTGGCAATCATTACACATACACCAAAACCACCAAATGGGGGTTTCCTTTTAGGGGACCCTTATATAGCACCCTAAATAGTAGGATCCTTGTTATAAGAACCTCAAAAGAAGGTACCCCCTAGTTTCGGAAACTCCCTAATGAGTCTTGTGAACAGACATGCAGAAGAAACCTGAAGCCACCAACCCCCAAATGCCTAAACTAGCCCCTCAAGACCCAAAGCTCCACAACCCACCCTAAACCCTAAACCCTCAAACCCCCAAAATCCAAAACCCACCCCAAACCCTAAACCCTAAACCCTCAAACCCCAAACTCCAAAACCCCTAAGCTCGTGGAACCATCCTCGGCCGCAGTGCTGCCGATGTTCGCGAGGCCTCGTTGCTGGGAGTCTGGTCCACTAGAAAGGTTCGTGATAAAGGCTTAGGGTTTAGGGTAAAGGTTCATGCTAAGGGTTTGTATAAAGGTTCATGATAAGCGTTAGAATGGCGGTTTCTGGCAAGGGTTACTGTCAAAGTTACCATATAAAGGTGACTGATAAGGGTTACCATGAGGGTTGCTATACATGTTACTATAGGCTTATCAGAACTGTTTCTGATAGGGGTTACTATGAGGGTTACTGCACAGGTTACTGTAGGGTTGCTTTTAAGCGTTACTGTAATACGGTGAAGGTTCTACAATCGGGTTCTTGGTATGATCTGATTGGGTTTTTCGGGGTTTAATATGGGGGCCTAAATAAATGCAACAACTATTTTGGGGCTCCTTACTATACGTATAGTATGGTACCCCAAAACCGTCTTCTAATCATGAATAGGCCCTATAGTAGAGGGACTCCTGGCAATTGGAAACCGAGTATGTGTACAACGATATGATATTCTATTTTGCCATATCGCATGGCCAGGACCCACACAGCGAGGTTCCTTCGGAAAGTTACAAGATGCATGCAAAACATACCGTCAGCATCTGTGCCAGCCAAAACTCGCACTGCACGTCTGTAACATGTGCAGCTGCTGGCATACTCAGACACGCATGCCACTCAAAGCTATCAGCTCAGCTCAATGCCAGAATGGCATAACATGCATGGTCAAGAGTCAAGAGTCGCCCATCAAGACAACCATCTTCGGTGTTTGCACTCTGTGACAGACTTCTGAAAAACTATTATAGTACCGCGGCGCAGCTCCGACGACAGTCTAATCGTTTCTTATGATTAGGAAGGGATGGTTTTGGACACAGGGTTTCCATCTCTCGAAATGCATCGTGTGCACGTGTAAGTAAAAACCATAACACCAACCGTGGAAAACAGGCTTGGCGTCCAAGTGGCGGTAGGTCCACTCTGGGATGTTGCCAACACCCAGAATCTCGCACACCTGCTCGATTCATAAACCACTGGGAACTTGCGTCTAGCTTTCGACCGAGCATTACCCCCGACTGCTGACATTGCGCCCTAAACCCTTCTTTGCAGAGGCTTGATTGGACCTCCCCCTCAACCCTGAACCCCAAACCGTGGGGAGGGGCTCGCTGGACTAAACCACATGCTTCTCGATCGGCTGGGCCTCGTCAGCAAAGTGGCAGCAGTTTCGTCGGAAGACATTGTAGCTTGGTCCACTCCACTTGATTTCCTTGCGCTCAGGCTGGGCGAGTACCACGATTAGTAGCAACAGTAGTGGACATCGCCGTCGTCCTAGTAGTGGTACTGCCGTCACTACTACTTCACTAATGCCACGACATTCGCGGCGACTGGAAGTTGTGACTTGTTGCTTTTGCAGACCGTGCCGTCATTTACATTATGGGCGCTGAGCGGAGTTGCATGCAGCCTCTTCAGCACAGCATTCCCTTCATGCAACAGCTATGTCCTGTGTTACCAGATGTTGCCTGAACATTTTGAACTATGCTCTGGGGAATGGTCTACTATCTTGGAACATAGCAATTCCGGGGAACGAAAGACGTATAGAAGAATGCTGATTGCTGAGGCCCCTAGTTGACAGAGCTCTGCGAGGCGCAATCTTGTACTCTTGATCAATGCTGGCTCCCATTAAAAGCAAGGTTGGGGGCTGCCCTCAGGAATCTCTTTAACCGTACCGACCAACGCCGACGAGGCGAAAGATCATAGAGAAGGCTATTGGCCCAGTCTTATGCGTTAGAACTGGCATTGCTGACATCTGCCACGTGGCCAGGCTTGTCATGACCTCCGCAATCTCCGTACGAGACAGCGTCGTAGGTGGCCTCTGCGGCGATTTCACTTTGATTCTGCGTGCTAACTGCCGGATGTGTTCACGGGGTTGCGAACCGAGTGATGAAAAGCGAGCCCCACCGTGCAAAATAAGAACTTCGTGCAATTGCAGTTCAGTCTCCCGGCCTGTACTTGTCAGCAGTCAACTTGGCACATGTCATTCGGCGTGGAAGTCTCACATTCCAAGCAATGGACTATAACGTACTGTTTGATCTTCATAAGTTGGAGGCCAAGTTTCGCTTCGTACTGGACCACCAGTCTGGTGTAGCTTTGCTCCCCCAGATGATTGAAGTTTAGGGCTAGGGCTCATGAAGTGCGAGCAGAGTTCTAGCTGACAGTTAGCCGTGTCGCCCGCCCACCGTGTTTTTTTTTTTTGGTTCTCTCTCTCTCTCTCTCTCTCGCTCTATCTATCTATCTGTCTATCTATCTATCTATCTATCTATCTTTCTTTCTCTCTCTCTCTCGCCTTGCTGCAGGCTGGGCCATCTTGGCTTGTGCACAGTCTCGTCACGTCCCGTTTTGTCTTTTGCAGTAGCCCCCAAAGAAACTGCCCGTGTGCATCCGTTCGCCGCCATGCACATATGTATGTACATATGGCAGGCAGGTTTACCAAAGGTAGATAATTGCATGTAACTGATGGTATCAATCAGTAATTAGTAGCTCTAGCATGCCAGGCTGCATGTCGATCGTCTCCCGAAAGTGGTGCTGTCCAGGAAACAGCGGCGGAGTCCTGTCAGGAGCCCCGCACGACTCTGAAGTTGAGAGGGGCATGTGCAAGACTTGGTTCTCATCCATATTACGGCTTTTAGGGCTTATAGGGCAGTGATCGCGTGTAGCCAGCGCATGAAGTGAGTTCGGGTGATAACACTTTTCTGGCGAATCTTTCGGGTGATTGAGGACAAAACCAGTCCAGAAGACGCCGGTGCCGGAGGGCTTGTAGCCAAATGCCCACCTGGAGGAAGCAAACCACGACGGCTGGTTCGATTTCTGAGGAAAGACCTACCATGACAGCTACGAAGAACCTTTCCTGTTGTGAAGTGGCTCATACCGACTTTGCAGGCATAGCAAACTCCTCGGCAAAATGCAAGGTACAAAGCAACTTGGCATGGCACGGCGAAACTGCATCGGCGGGGCTTCACACTGCGACGATTTCACTTCCCGATCGGATCGTGCTTCAGCCACGCCGCTCCCTCGAACCAATCTGCACGCCCACATGGAAGATGCCGCCTATGAGCAACTCTAAGGCACTCAGCTGACCAGGTCAACAGCAAGCCTGCATGTGTCTGAAGATTCAAGCTTTCATATGACAGGTCATCTAGGCTCAGGGCTTTGCAGTGCCTTAACACGGAACACTGCTCTTGTGTCCCTGGCACGAGTTCTGAACCATGCGCCTGGCAATTAGCAACGAAGTGTAGGAGACAACAAAAGCAAGAGAGAGAGAGAGAGAGAGAGAGAGACGGAGATCCGCATCGAGCTGCCAAACTTCACTGGCGAATACTGGTTGGCGAAGAGGCTGTTGATCCACTGCACCTGGGAATCGAGAGACGGTCCAAGAGCAAGACAAACATCGCATCCAACAAACAGTGCCTTCATGAACTCTACAGCACGGCTCAACCTTGCGAACTGCCCCAGACCACTGTACAATCGTTTCGTGTAAGAAACTCCGAGAGATGCGTCTGAACATTCGGTGTGCTGAAACGGAGCGACTTTCCAATAATTGAACGTTCAAGCTTCTGCTCATACCTGCTGAGAAAAGCTGTGTTATTAAGCCCATCACATTTTTGAATGTGAGTGTCGGGTAGTAGCTTTTGTCACAACAGTCTACTACATAAAATTAGAACAGAGTTAAAGGGTCTATTGGGAACAGTATTGCCAATTATTCAGGCTTCTATATTGACCAAGCTGCAGTGGGGTTTGTGGTCACGTCATAGATGTTCAGCTTGACCGGAGTCTCTTCCACCGACGGAGCTCTCTCTCTTGCATGGGTGGGACTGGCCTGGGCCAATATGGTGAAGGGTTTCGGTAAGCAGGGTTTAGGGTTTAAGGTTTATAGGGTAGGCATCCTGATACCTACAACAGCTCTAGCAGAGATTCCCGCTGAGAATCTCGAGGAATTTCCAGCGCAATGCGAGAATGTCTCTTTACTTCCCGTAATTGAACCTCGCGACCTTGCAGACCCGAAGCCGAAAAGCCTATTAGATATCCAAAATCTTTGGACTGTAGACTCGCACCTAGAATTTCGAACGTTATAACGAGACCAACGAGCACTCAGATCGCTAAAGCACTGACTGAACACTACAAGACCTAGCATCTTGAAAACCCCTGCAGCGAGCTGACCGGTGGTGACTCCACGCGAGCGCGGGCCCCAAGCCACAGGGACTTCAGCCGTACCTGTGCGGGTGCTCGCGAAGTCTTCTTTCTCTCTTGTGCTATTGGACCGGTACTGCTTTCTTACTAACAGTCTTGTATTGCGCTGTTAACACTGACTGCTATCAGCACTATACTACTTTGCGAGTTCGTCTGTTTGATCTTTGGGGGTGGCGTGTGAAGGCTTGGGGTACTTAGGACGCTTAGAGAAACTCACCAGGGTTTCCATCATTCTTTTTGATTCATGACCACCATCCTGTGCTACGGGCCCGGCTCCACATGTATTCGTAAATACAGCAGCCGACAGAAACACGACGATACTCTACAAGTGATTGACCGTTGCCCGACTGCCTCCATCCTGGGCTGTGGTACAGTGATATGGCGCCAGGACAACCGTTATGGTGCAGAACTTTACGCAAGTGTGGCTTAGGGCAGGCACCAACCGTGCACGCCACTGTCCTGTTGGCTTAGTTTGTATTGCGCATGCCCATCTGCGCGCAAAGCCCAACAGGCGTGGGCTGCAGTCTAGGTAAGCCGGAGCATGCGGCTGCAAGCAACTCCGCCTGATACACTAGGCAGCATTGCTTTCACCTGGAGCTGTGAGCCTATAGCCGATGAACACGTGCCTCCCGGCCTTTCATTTCATCCTCGGTGAAACAACCTATCTTGCCAAAGCGTCCCGCACCTGGCTCTGCCCCACCCGAAACCTCCAGCTCATAAGAGCGACTGCCCAAAACAGATTCACTGCCCGGAATTTGGGCCTTTACGAGCTAAAACCCGGCTCCGTCCTCAATCTCCCGGTTCGTGTCCATCCTCGCTGACGTGGAGACCAGCCGGAGGGCGAAGAGCTCTTTGCAGGGCAGAGCCGCACAAAGTAGCTCATACCTTCGAACGGGGGGGCCCCAAAAAAAACGCCGTACCCTTAACCTCTAACTTCGGGGCCTGGGTAGTTAGAATAGGGTCTCGGGGTATCCTACAGTGTAGTACAGCAGCTAGGGCTTACGGGGGAGGAGATTTTAAAATGCTTCTGTCACGCTTGCAATACAAGTTGTTTGGATTTATTTACGGCCCGCCAGAACCCCAAACCCCTTCGACCCCCAACCCGCAAACCCGGTCATTCGAGGGTGATTTTATTCTGAGCATGGCATGGGCTAGGGCCGGCTAGGGTTTCACATGGAACATGTCCTGTAGTGCAAACCGAAAACCAAGCAATCGCTGATTAGTAACTCCCGCAAGCTTGAAAGGGATTGTGTATACAATCAGGCCATTGGAAAAAGAGAGTTTGAGTGATCAGGAGTCTACATTAGAGGCAAGGTGGGTTACAGGATACGTGGCTTACCTCTACCTGAGGGTTGCGGCAATACGACTCGATGCAAACGTGCTGCGAGTTCCATTGACGCTACCTTCTACTTGCTTGTCCAGTCTCCTAGAAGAACCAAAACGTTAACCTGGGAGATTATTTTTAAAGGTTACCGACTTTACTACTAGGGCTACCTGTTTGATCACCGTCAAAAGATCCCTGAGAGGAGGCCCTGCACAGAAACATGTGTTGCGGCATCGTGATCGTCGCAGCCAATCAACCCTACAGTAACCCCTCGTCCTACTTCCTAAACCTTCAACCTCCCTCCTAAACCCACGGTTTAGACTTTAGTTACGACTGAAGGATCCCTTGTACAGATAGGGGCCTTGATTATCAGAACAGGGTTTTGACTTTTGGGGTAAAATCTACCATACTTTACAATGAACACCAAGATAGAGTTGGTCATAAATTTAACCCCTATATGAAACCCGAGAAGCCCAAGACACCCTAGGCCCTAGACCCTAATCAAGTTCCCCAAAAAAACCAGTGTTGGGAACCTATGTTCAACCCTAAACCCTACACCCCTAAACCCAAAGCCCAAAACCCCTAAATTAAATCCAAAACCCCCAAAACCCAAAGCCCTACACCCCTAAACCCAAAGCCCGAAACACCTAAATCCCAAACCCCCAAAACCCAAAGCCCAAAAAAAACCCTCTCAGTCGAATCGCGGCTGGCTTCCCAGCTCCAGGAACTTCGGCAGCTCCTCGAGTCCTTTTCGAATGCGCTTTCGGGTTGCGGGCTTCTCGGGTTTAGGGTTTAAGTTTCAGGGCTTTCGGGTTCAGGGTTTAGGGTTTGGGGCTTTCGGGTTCAGGGTTTCGGGCTTTCGGGTTCAAGGTTCAGAGTTCCTTCCCTCTCGCATGGCTGAGGAACTATGCCCACTAGCGAGGTTGAATCGGTTCATCAACAAACGAGGACTGAAGACTGTACTAGACGAAGGGGGTCAGTCCATGAAGTTGCCTAGCCCTATTAAGCCAATACCCAGCATCACGAACATAGACCTCTATCGTCATCGAGGAAAGTTAAGCTCCCTGTGTGCGCCAAATCTCAAATAGTCCCATACAAAGAAAAGGACAGCGAGCCGAACAGGGCTACAAAGGTTTAGAGTTCAGGGTTTAGGGTTTAAGGCTTGCGGGTTCAGGGTGAGGGGGTATAGGAGTTTAGGGTTTAGGACTTTCGGGTTCAAGGTGAAGGGGAGAGAAGGGGTTTCGGCCCTCGCGCTCGGACAAAGGGTTTAGGGATTCCGGTTGAGGGTTTAGGGGTCTCGGGGTTTAGGGCATTTAGGGGTTGAGGCTTTATAATAGGGGTTCAGGGGTTCGGGGTGTAGGGGTTTTTGGAGGTGGAAGGCTCTGAATATGAACCCTTATACCACACGGAGTTTAAGAAAGGACTGTACCAGAGAATCAGTAAACATAAAGAAGACTCAGGCAGTTCAAGACGAAAGAGTTGGGCGGCTTGAGAATGGGTTTGGGGTTCTGACCCTTTGCTCTCGCAAGGCTTTGCGGTGTTGGGGGTTAGGGCTTTGGATTTACTTTAGGAGGGTCTAGCAACACGACAGAGCGGGTAGTACTTCTAGAATGGGCTCCCATCTGATATGGCTACACCAGTAGTCATCATCGTTATCATCTTCTCCGTCATCATGAGAACCTGATTCTTCTTCATGCGCACCTTTTATGTTTTATATATATATATACCCACATATATACATACACATACACACATACATATACATATACATAAACAAAACATATACAGATACAAATACATACACATACACACATACATGCATACATGCATACATGCATACATACATACATACATACATACATACATACATATATATATGATATATATATATATGTGTGTGTGTGTGTTTGTGTGTCCATGTGCGCACATAGGCACAGTCATAAAACACAGTGTACAAGTGAAGGCCTTCTGCTTGTCTATCTACCTATCTATCTATCTATCTATCTATCTATCTGCCTACCTATCTCTCAACTCATGCATGTATGCATTTAGGCATGTATGTATGTATGTATGTATGTATGTATGTATGTATGTATGTATATGTGTGTGTGTATGTATGCATGTATGTGTGATGCATATGTATACTGTGAATATACATATAAACATATACCGAAAGCGTCGCAGTGCACACCTACATATACATATACATATATATACACACACACACACTTAAATCTGAATCCTGAGAGCTGCCCTCGCTCCCTTCTAAGTCTCCATGTCCTTCTTGGAGCTCCAAAGCTTCCGGGGCAGAAAGGAAGGAATCCGATCCCGGATCCGAGGCGCAACATGGGGTCAAGGCTACCTGCCATGCAGTGCGCTAAAACTCTTGGCTTGATATGAGGCCTTGTGCTTACAGGGAGTGAAGGCCTTGCAAGCTGCACCTGCCAATGCGCTCGGATTTTGCAGGGCTTCATGTGGCTGTCCTCTGCAAGGAGGTCTGGGCCCCTCTGCTTGCAAAGGTCTACAAGAATCCCATGTTTGACACCTAGATATTGAGACCAGGTAGGGGTTCTATCGGTCGAAGTCTGCTACTGCTAGCGCTACTGAGTACGACACACCTTCTTCTTCTCATATGATCTTCTGCTTCTTCGAGGGGTGGTGGTATTGGCGATGATGATGGTCATCGTGTCATTGTGATTTTCGGCACGATGACGTGTACACCTGTTGCTCATTTCATTGCGCTTGGGTTGGCTTTTCGTCATGAAGTCGTGTACACCTGTTGCTCATTTCATTGCGCTTGGGTTGGCTTTTCGTTATGAAGCGCTGTGAGCGCAGGTGCAATGTGCCGGGAATTTAGAACACTCATTTTTGCAAGATTGCCAGCAATGTTGCAATCTTGCCCCACTGGGCGGGAGGAAAGCACTGGGCGGGAGGAAAGCTTGGGGGGCGGGGAGGGTGGGGGGGGGGGGGCAAAATGACCATACAATCTTGGTCATCTTGGTCTAAATGGTAAACTAGTCGGCGAGCTAGGGCAAGCGGGGCGGCACGTGGGGCAAGACGACCAAGCTTGCAAGATGACCAAGTGGGACGGCAAGTGGTGCAAGATGACCGAAATTGCAATAATGACCAAGTTGACCAATTTTTTGTGAGAACTTAGGTGTCCCAAGATCCCGGCACAATGCAATGGTGCACTTCTTCCACCAGCCATAAGGTCGGTTGCTGTGTTGTTTCGCCATACCAACAACACCCGGGCAAGACTGCTGGCCATCGCCATCCTCATCATCGTCTTCGTCATCACCAGCAACAGCAAGAGCAACTGCAACATCACCCGTCACCATCTTCATCATCATCACCTTCATCATCCGCATCACTCGATTCGTCAATCAACAATATCTCATTCTCACCATCGTCGTCGTCCAGCACCATCACCATCACGCCAGAAAAATGAAATGATCTCCCAAAATGGGCCTCCTCCTCCTCTTGCAACGGTTCGCCGCACGCCTCCGTCGGAACCACGCTGATGGGCTCCTTGCGGCTGGATTGAAACTTGAAGGTTTTGAATTTTGGCACAGGAGCGGTTTAGCTTCGTGTACAGGGGGTATGTCACTCGCAGTCGAGCGCTCAAGCCCGGGCTGTTCTGACATTCTCGCAACCCCACCGGACTGCACTGGTCCCTGGAGCTCAGGAAACGCACATCGTTGCCTTACAGGCCGATCGATCTAAGCACGCCCAGGCTCCCAAGTTGCATTTCCTTAAAGTTATGAAACTTAATAATAGCTATTCTTCCTTAAAGTTATGAACCTAATACTAGCTACAATTCCTTAAAGTTATGAACCTAATAATATGCTATAACACAACCGGCTAACACTGATGCTCCAAAAGCCAGCAGTTGCACCCAAAAGCCCCGGACACTCGCGAAGGCTTCCCGATGGACCAGAGGTTTCCCTGCGCTGTCCCGGGCTCAGGGTGAAGGCTCCATGCTTGGCCCGTAGCGGCTTGAGGTTCAAGCTGATTTGTTCTGATGTAGTCTCTGGCAAAAAATAGCCCCGAAAATCAGCAAGTAAGCTCATCCCATAAACCTTCCATCCGAAGGCCTCATAGCCTCAAACCCAACCCTGAAACCTTAAACCCCCTAAACCCAAAGGCCCCCCAAACAAAAATCCCAAAGAAACCGAACCCCAGGCCTTAAGCCCCCTAAAAACTCCTAACGGCAGCCCCTGTCCTGCATGGCCGGCTCGAGATCTTCTTTCGCTGCTTCTTCCACGGGATCCGCCAGATCCGGGCCCTCAGAAGCCGTCTCTGGCTCACCCTGTCGAGGGTTCAAGGCTGAGAGGCTTCATGGGTCTAGGACCTAGGATATACCCTAAGGGTCCAAAGGAACTAAGAATCATGTACTTGGGTTACGGATAGTAGTTTTGTAGGTTAGAATTCAAATGAGTAGATGGTTCTCAAGGGCCTTTCCAGGCTGAAGTGATTGGGCTATCTATTGAAAGCCCGCTTGAAGGTTCAGGGTTTTGGGCTTTCGTGGTTTAGCGTTTGGGGATTTAGCATTTGTGGTTTAGGCTTGAGGGCTCAAGTTTCCAAAGCTGGCGAAGTCCGAACGGAGCAATTTGCAGGTGAAGGCAACATTGATGTCGCGTTAGATGCCTAACATCCTGCTACAGAAGGAGCAGGGTCGCGCCCACGCATTGCATCCAGTGCCTCTGGTAGCGGCCTAGACAAACAGCCTCCAACCTGAACGGTTGTGGCTGCTTAGAAGATCAGGCGTCCGGAACATGAGCCAAAGCTCAGGATGGGCGAGAGCATGCACATGAGAAGTAGCATGCAGGGCCTGAAGCCAAACCCCAAAACCTTAAGCCCTCAAAAAAACGATGCACGTTCTCTCACACCCTTGCCACAGACATCCAGTTGCCTTGCATGCCCTAGCATAGTAACCCATGAAATGAGCACGTTAAACCCTAAACCCTGAACCGTCCCTGGGGGTTAGGATTAGGGGGACCCTTAGGGATATAGACTATAGACCCTCTCAATAAGGTCCCTTTTAAGAGAGCTACAAGTAGGGCTAAGTAGGGTTCAGAAGGGGTCCCTTTTAAGGGGTCCCCCTAATACTACCTCGGAAACCCTAAACCCTTACCCTAAATCCTAAACCCTAAACCCGGCTGCAAGCTTTACAGAGCCCTGCCTCGGTGCTTCGCGCCGATGCCATCGGTTCTTCGTAGAGTTGGCCCGGGAGGGGCAGCTCGAGTGGACCTGGGGTTTAGGGTTTAGGGGTTTAGGATTTAGGGTTAGGGTTTAGGGTTTAGGGTTGAGGATTTAGGGTTTCGGTTTAGGGTTTAGGGTTTAGGGTTCTTTGAACTGTCGAACTCACACTCGGACTGGCCTGGCAAGGTCTGTAGCGATACTGGTCTCGACCAGGAGGGTTTCGGGTTTAAAGTACCTGTATCATGGGTTACTATGCTAGGGCTTAGGGTTATATAGGGGCAGTAGGCTAGTAGGTATCCGCTTTAGAGCTTGAGAGTTTCAAGTTCGGGGTTTAGGGTTGAAGGTTACGTGTTTCGACTCAGAGTCGAAGGTCAGGGCTTGTTATAACCAGGATCCTACTGCTTCGGGATCCACAATTACAGTTCGGGTTCCCTCTTTCAGGCCCGACCTCCTAGTATGAAGGGCTTCAGGGTTCACAGGTTCGGGGCTCCGGGGTTCCGGTCTGCCTTTTTCTTTCAAAGGGTTTAGGGTTTAGGGGTTTGTAAAGGGGCCTTAACTAGTGGCTTTTAGACCTTTGGGGTTCAAAGCTCAGGCTCGTAGGGTTTGCTGCAGGTGTTCTTGAAGGCCTGGGCTTGTGGGTTACAGGGTTCTGACGCTTAGGATGTCGGGGCCTTAACAATTGGAATA